TGCGGGGGGGCCATGGGGTGGCAATGGGGTCCCTAGGGTGTCCCAGCGGTGTCCGGAGGGGTCCCTGGTGGCCGGGGCGGCGCCGGGGTCCCCACCTGGTACTGGGTCTTGTCGATGCCCACGAGGAAGACGAGCTCGGCCAGGAAGAGGCTGATGCAGAGGTTCTTGTGGATGGTGGTGCGGTCCGAGGGCAGCCCGCGCACGCAGCAGAACGTGGAGATGCAGATGCCCAGGCACACGAGGGCCACCACGATGCCCACCCACGAGATGACCGACAGCAGCAGCTCGTTGAGGCGGCCCTGGTACTGCGGGGACGGGCGCTCAGCGCCGGCGGCCACCGGGCCTGAGCCCGAGCCCGAATCGGAACCAGCACCCGAATTGGAACCAGCGCCTGAATCTGAACCTGTGCCTGAACCTGAACCTGAACCTGAACCTGCGCTCGAGCCTGCACCCAAACCTGAACCTGCGTCCGAACCTGCGCCCGAATCTGAATCTGAACCTGCATCCGAATCCGAACCTGAATCATCTGAACGTGTGCCTGAATCTGAACCTGCGCCTGAGTCTGCGCCCGAATCGGAACCAATTCCCAAGGCTGCACCTTCACCCGAACCTGAACCTGCATCTAAATCTGAACCTGAACCTGCACCCAAATCTCAAGCTGCGCCCAAACCTGCACCTGAATCTGAACCTTCACCCGAACCTGAACCTGCATCCGCATCTGAACCTGCGCCTGAACCTGCACCTGTGCCTGAACCTGCACCTGAAGCTGCACCTGAATCGGAACCAGCGCCCAAATCTCAACCTGCACCCGAGCCTGCATCTGAATTCCAACCTGAACCTGCACCCAAATCTGAACCTGCACCCGTGGGAGCCCCGCGCCGCCCCCCGCGCTGCCCCGCGCGCCGTCCCCGTCCCCGCTCACGCTCTCGTGCTGCGCCATGAGCACGGCGAAGTTGGTGAGGTGGCTGCAGGCGCAGGACGTGTGCGTGGCGTTGGTGTCGAGCAGGCGGCAGCCTTGCGTGGACCAGTGCCCCGTCATGGAGCGCTCCGAGTAGTTCCAGAAGGAGCAGTTGGCGTTGAAGTGGTTCTTGGCCTGCGGGCAGCGCGCGGCGCTGGGGGCGCTGCCCAAACTGGGGGCCCCTGGGGCTGCTGGGGGGTCCTTGGATGTCCTGGGGCTACTGGGTGGCCAGGGACTAGGAGAACTGGGAGCACTGGGAGAATTGGGGGGGAAACAGGAAAATCTGGAGGTCCTGGGGACGCTGGGAGAACTGGGGGTGCTGGGGGGGCCCCAGGGGCTGGGAGGGCTCCCAGGGGGTCCCCACGGCTGTTTCGGGGGTCCTGAGGGGGCTCAGGGACCAACCGGACACCTAAAGGAAGGGAAAGGAGGTCCCAAGGAGTCCCCAGGGCTGGTTGGGTGCCCCTAGGGTGGCCCTAGGGACCACCTAGAGATCTAGGGGGTGGATGGGGTCCCAAGGGCTCTTTGGGGGATCCTTGGGGGGGATCAGGGACCCGCTGGAGCGCTAGGGGTCTGGATGGGGGTCCCAGGGCTCTTGGGGTCCCCGGGGTGCCCCGGGCGGGGGTCTCACCTCCAGGTGGGGCAGGGTGAACACCACGGGGTCCATGAGGAACACGCGGCTGGACTCCTTGTTGATGGAGGCGGCGATGACCTGCGAGTTGACGACGAGCGCGGGGCCGCGCGCGCCCGCGGCGCCCGCCAGCCGCACCGTCGCGTTCTCCGTGGACAGGAACAGCCCCAGGTTGTTGTACAGGAGGAACACGACCTTGCCCACCCCTGCGGGCCGCGGCCGTCAGGACCCCCGGAGCGCCCCGGCCCTCGGGGTCCCTAGAGCGACCCCGGCGGCTGCACAAGCCCCTGGGAGACCCCCGGG